TTAAATGGAGTCGTCATGAAAACAGCATGTTGTATCATCGCCTGCAAAAACCGATCAACTTACATCAATATTACTGTAAAGGTTTCTCTCTTCCTTCCACTTCCCTGTCTCCGCAGGGTTCTCGAAGAGCACTATAGCCTGGCGGCCCGTCGAGCCGCGCACCTCTAAAATATCAATAGCCGCCATGTTGCGTGTATACACATGAGAAGTTTCACAACAATTAATACACGTTGTTATACGCAGAGCTAACGGGTACAGCATTAACGTATCTTAATGTCCGAGGCTACCGGCGTACGGCCAGTCACACTAGCCGTATCTCGGCTGCGGCAAGCCCGTATCTTAATGTCTCGAGGCTCACGGCGTACGGCAGTCCCACACACAAGTACAAACAGTCACCCTAATCCATAACTCTAACCAGAGGGGCTATTATTACGGATACTACGCCAATTAACTCTATGGTGTATAACCTTTTGCTTTCAATATTTTGCATCTGCAACTGCACAATCATCCCACAACCGGTGTAGTGGCCTAGCTGGGCACCAATAATGTTCATTTTCATACTTCAAATCCGAGTGATTTTCATAGCCTCATCAAAGAAATCTTAATCCTGAATTAAATCGTTGAATTAATTTCCAACGGCATCTATTACGGGGCAGGTTTTTGCCCATGTAAAACAAACATTTTCACCCCAATGCAGCTGGCTTCAATTTACACACAGCAGTGTCCCAGATTGCATCTCAGAGCTTCTATAATTCAAAAATGTTGGAACCCGACCCCCCTAGCACTGAGCAGCACCCCCATGCTATATGAAAAGCTCGGAGAACCCTGTCCCCTTCTATCTCGATCTCTCTGTCTTTTATTTCTTTCTGTCTGTCTGTCTCTCTCTCTCTCTCTCTCTCTCTCTCTCAACCCTTCCCCCTCTATTCTTTCTCTTTCTTACTCTTCCTTCTCCCCTCTCCTTGCGGTAACCACATCGTTGCGCTGGCTCTGAACATGCCGTCTGGCCTCTTTCTCTCTTTCTCCCTCACCCTTCCTCCCCCCTCTCTGCGCGTTACCATGACGATGGCCGTCTCTAACATCCCCGTTGGCTCTCTCTCGTTCGCTCCGCAGGGAGATCCGCGAGCCGCGCAACGTCAAGCTCGTCATCGACATCATGCAGTACGACCCGCCGCAGATCAAGAAGGCGCTGCTGTTTGCGTGTGGCAACGCGCTCGTCTGCGAGACGACCGAGGACGCGCGTAAGATGTGCTTCAGCAGCCGCGAGCGACACAAGGCAGTCGCGCTCGACGGCACGCTCTTCCAGAAGTCTGGAATCATCTCCGGTGGAGCGAGGTACGTTTACTAGAGGGTGTTGGGATTGAGAGGGGTGGGTGGTGTTGTGGAGGGACGCAGCTGCCTCCTCAACACTCACCGCTCGATCGCCACGGCCTCTAGTCAAAATTGAGTATTGAATATTGGAAATTAAATTTTCTTATTTTTGTTGAAAATTGAATGAGGGCGCAATGAGTGTAACTAACTGTAACAGTAGGTGTTAATCGTCATGTAGCATCTGTGAATGCCGAATATCAGATGAGCTGTCATGCCCCTGTGTCGCTATGTATGCTGACATAGAGTGAGAGCAAATCGCTCGTATCATGTTATGTATACTGAGATAATTGCATCATTTAAGCACACACCTCTTGTGATTGTAAAACAACAATGAACAGTCGAAATTTCAAGATGTGAGACATATAAAACCTGTATTTTTCATGAATGTGTGTATCCCTGCTGTTTACAGTGACCTTAAGGCCAAGGCACGCCGCTGGGACGAAAAGCAGGTGAATCACTTGAAGGCACGCAAGGACAAGCTGACAGAAGATCTGAAGGAAGCCATGAAGAAGAAGCGCAAGGAGTCTGAGCTGAGTACCATCCAGAGCCAAATTCGAGGCCTCGAGACCAGACTGAAATACTCGATCACTGACAGGGACAACACGGTAAGTTGTCCTATTATGCAGGAACATTCAGGGATTTTGATCAGTAAACTCAAGGTTAACTGGTAATAACAACATCTGGTGCGAACCCAGTGAAGACGCTACTCGACTTTTGAGCGATAAACCCGATAAATGTTTTGTTTTTTTTCAATTTTACTCCGATCTTTATGATCTCGCTGTAAGTTTACACAGAAATGTGGATGTTAATGACACTCCTGATAAGAATGCAGGTAACATATGCGTAGATCTAACGCGAACGTGCACTCATCTTTTTGCTATAACATGCCAATTTGAAATTTAGTGGATTTTACATGTTTTATGAAGAATAATCACCGAATTTCAATGATAAATGTTCCATTTAACTGTAGCGGGCTCATTTGTTCAGCAGAGTTAGCGCATCACGAAAATAATGAATCGTAGGTTCAATCCGTAAGCGTGTTTTTTGTTCCTTCAGCAACGGAAGCACATTGCGAACAACGACAAGGAGATCGAGCGTCTGCGAAACGAGATGGTGACCTTTGAACCGCGCGTGCAGCAGATAGAGGAGCGCATGGCCGAGCGTGAGGAGAAGATGGCCGTCGTCAAGGATCGCATGAACCGTGTCGAGGACGAAGTGTTCGCTGACTTCTGCCAGTCGATCGGTGTCGAGAACATCAGGTGCGCCACCTAGTGGTAGCGTGCGGCAACGCGACACTTGTTTATTTATTCATTTATTTATTTATTAATATATTTATTCATTTGAAACAGATAGACAGCATTGAGGCATTAGTCGGAAGACTTGTTTACTGTTGCGATTCTGTTTGCTAGTTATGCTTAGCCGACGTCTGCGTTGTTTCTATGGTAACCAAGCGTATTTCTTCCACCCTCTACAGGCAGTACGAGGAGAAGGAGCTGCGTGTGCAGCAGGAGCGAGCAAAGAAGAGACTGGAGTTTGAGAACCAGCGCTCGCGACTCATGAACCAGCTAGAGTACGAACGGTCGCGTGACACGATGGGTGAGTAGTGCAGCAGACCTGAATAACTCGGTTCAGCCGGCTAGACATGGAAATACGTGGCTCGTGCAGGATGCTCCTAGAAAACCTGAAAAGTACTGGTATTTTAAAATGCCATTTTTTAGGTCTAGAAGCTCCTGAAAAATATGCTGTTATTACGTATGGTCCTGAAATGTTCCCCGAGATTTGTCTGAGAGGCAATACAAGTTTACTTCACTCAAAAAATCTTGCACTGAACTGTTGGCATAACAAAAGCAGACATTTGTGTCGTTTCGTGGCACCGTCACATCGGGTAAAAAGTTGCTCGTCAGGTAAAACCCTCGCTCCGTCCGAAACGCTCTCGGCTAAACTTGGCGTCTTGTGGTTTTCAGAGAACGTCACCAGGTGGCAGAAGAACGTGGAGGCGGACGAGAAGGAGCTGGAGAAGCTGCGCAAGGACGAGGCGAAGCACATGAAGCTCATCGACGAGCTGATGAAGAAACTAGAGGCGCACAAGGCAAGCAAGATCACGAAGAAGTCGGAGGTCGACGACAAGGAAGGGGAAGCCAACGATGTGAGTGCGTGTGTGCGTGTGTGTGTGCGTGCGTGCGTGAGTGTGTGTGTGTATGTGTGTGTGCATGTGAGTGAGTATACACGAATATTTCTTTATTTAATTAAATTAGTTTAGTTTAGTGTCTGGAAGTATCTGCCATAAGTCAACTATTATATGTGTTACCAACACGCCTGGCCGACATGTTAGGTACTGCCGTTTTAATATTTCTGCCAAGCATATAAATTTGCAATACAGGATAAATTACGATAAAGGCATCTCTCCAGTGATAGTAACATCTCCTTAGGTTATCCTTAGTGATTCTAACTTGATATACGTGGTATGTCTACACGTAGGATGTTGACAACTAGAGGGGGTAATGTTCTGCATGGGTGTTTCTTTAGATTCGTAAGCAGCAGCAGGTTGTGCAGAAGGAGATCACGGCTCTGCAGAAGCAGATAACGAACATGGACAACAAGCTGGAACAGCGCAGACAGGAGCGTCACAGCCAGCTACTCATGTGCAAGGTACATGTTAGTTTATGTTAGTTCTACGCGGTAATATATCTCTCATCCTCTAGACGTGTGTGTCGGACCATCTCAGGTTGGGATGCATATCCATTGTGCTAAGTAGCTAAGTATAGTGCTAGTATTTAGTTCATCTCCAACTTTACAGCTCAGTGATAAGCTCGTTGAAACTACAATAAGTACTTATTGTGGTTTCAACGAGCTTATCACTGAGCTGTAAAGTTGGAGATGAACTTGGTTGCTGGGTATGCAGTCAGCTCTCATCCTCTACATGCGTGCATGACTGTAGGATGCCTGCCGTTAGTGTAACACATGTCCAGCATGCAGGATACTGTTCACTCGGCACGTGTACGCATGAGCCACCTTTTATCGAGTGTACACAAGACACTTCTCTTTGCTCTTCAGCAGGAAATACATGGCACTAGTGTAGCGTTCCCTCTCTGCAAGATTCCGCCATGATTTGATAACTTTACAGTTTATGTTACCCTGGGTGCCCGTCGTTAAGCACCGAGAAAAAGTCGTTTGTAACCGTATCCATGTCACAGATGTGCGCTTGTTTACAGATGGAAGACATCAACCTGCCGATGAAGTCCGGTTCGATGGACGACATTGGGGGCGATGGTCAGAGTCAAACGGACACGCCGTCCAGCCAGGGTTCGGAAAGTCAGAAGCAGATGTTGGAGAAGATGAAGCAGATTGTGCTGGACTATGGGCAGCTGGATGATAATCACAAGGATGTAAGTATCTCACTACAGGTGGCGCTCTCTATTGCGCTAGGCAACAGCAAAAGCGGGCACCGTGAGGCGAGCAAAAATACTGAATGGTTGAAGAAATGTAGGTTGCTGGATAACAGTCGGAAGAAAGTTTAGAAGAAAGGTGTATGCTATAATTTTAAGACAAGATCAATTATTATATTAATTAATTATTATTATCAATAATAAATCTACGCCATGTTAACACTTTACACAAGTTAAATCGGTGTGCTTTCACACATGGATAGTCTAACTGTTCCCGCTACAATACTGTGTTATGTATAGGTGATATATCATCTATAGCACTGATAATGGGTTTCCAGCTGTTGACCTAGCAATGAATTAATGTATACCATTGCCGTGGTAGCTGGAGTCAAGCGATGAGGTAAAGAAGATGACAGAGAAACTGCATAAGGAAGTGACTGACATGAATGTGCACATGCAGCGTATACAAGCACCGAACATGAAGGCCATGGAGAAGTAAGTTAGAGGTTTTACAATCAGGGCTCGAATTAACCGACGGCACCGACGGCAATTGCCGGCGGTGCCCCTATCAATCGCCGTACTGCCCCTGAAAATCCAACCCGACCGACGGCAGTCACCTGCCTTGCCCTTTTATGTAATTGCTGTTGGTGCCTCTGGCTAGACTGGTTCGCGGTCGCACTGTTTGTCGCAGAGCGTGTACATTGTCTAGCAGAGCGTGAGGCCGGATTCCAGTCTACCCTCCGGCAAAAACAATAACCGTAAACGTGGCTTGCTGCCAACCGCTGCCAGTAGACAATCGATAAATCGTGCGCCTGTGTATGCCCGTGGTAGAATACGAATATTTAAATGCTGCACGTGGACTCGGCCCGCGCGCGATTTAAAGCGCGGGAAACGACGCTCGCGCAAGAATGGCCAGCTGTGATCTTACGGTGTGTAGCTTGCTAAGTGCAGTAAATTTAGAGAAATTTTAGTAGAATTCATACGATGACACAAAGTTTTTCATAACAATGGTCTGGGTCTGGGTTAGGGTTAGGTCTAGTGAAAGTTAGGTCAGGGCTAGTGGTTTTTCTTAGTTACTAGCCCGATGGTCTAGTGAAATAAAAAGTTAACGTTGAACCCTGTTAATGTACTTCCATTAGCAGAGGTTGATGTATTAATTTGTTATGAGTTTTCCTTTATTTTACAAAAGTGCCTTGGTGCCCTTCTCAAATTGTGAGAGTTGCCTTGATGCCTTTTAAAATTGCCTCGGTGCCCATCCATTTTAGAGAAAATTCAAGGCAATTTCTCACATGCCCCCAAAAAATTGCCTTGCCCCTCTCGTCACTTAATTCGAGGCCTGTTTACAATCGTGGTAGCATATTGTCTATCTCTGTCTCTCCCCACTCCTCTCTCGTCTCTCATTCTTTCTAGCTCCCTCCCTCCCTCCTTCCCTCTCTCCTTCTTTCTTGCCCTCTCTCTCTCCGCCCTTTCTCTTGCTTCACTGCACCTCGTATGTTATTCCATTGACAAAATCCATTGATGCAGGTTGGAAGGTGTCAAAGAGAAGTTCCAGGAGTCGGCCGAAGAGTTTGAGAATGCACGCAAGCGAGCGAAGAAAGCTAAGCAGTCGTTTGAGCGTCTGCGCAAGGATCGCTCCGACCGCTTTAACGAATGCTTCGAACATGTCTCTAACAAGATAGATGACGTGTACAAGGTGGGTGCTGCCCTCGTATTTGATGGACTACACATCAGGAGCTCCCGTCTCTGTCAGGACACTGCTAAAATCAAAGCTGCTCTACTAATGCTAACCTATCTGCTCGCTGTGTTTGACAGCCAGCTTAAATTGACTACGTCACGAATTTTCCATGGTAAAATTTGTAAACAAAAAATTGCCATTTTTTTACATTAAAAGTAAGAGCTAACGTTACTAAATATATCCTCAAACTCTCACCTGATAAAAATGTTTTTACGTTGGTTAAATTTGCAAAAATCTAGACGATTTGGTAATTTCTGTTGTCTAACACTATTCCCCTAGTACTGTTCAGATACTGGCGTCTCTCTGTTTTTCACCGGCAAATTAGGGCATATAAAGAAGGTATATAAGCATGAAAAGTAAACAGAAACACTGTATTTTCATACATTTTATTTTGTACAAATAACACACAAATATACTACTTGATGGTGCTAGAAATTCGTGACGTAATCACTTTAAGCCAATCAGCATTGTGGTAGAAAGTCCAAAAAGAAAACAATGCACAATGCTTGGTAATGACTGCTACACAGACACGCACACACGCACGCAAGCACGCACGCACACACACACATACACACAAACGCATGCATACGCGCACGCACGCACTCACGTACACTTTATAATAATCTTGGTCATCAATTGATTTGCAGCTGCTGTCGAAGAACCAGAGTGCGCAAGCGTTCCTGGGTCCGGAAAATCCCGAGGAGCCCTACCTGGACGGCATCAACTATAACTGTGTGGCACCGGGCAAGAGATTCCGGCCGATGGACAACCTGAGCGGAGGAGAGAAGACTGTCGCCGCACTTGCACTACTCTTCGCAATTCACAGGTGAGCGGTCAAGGAACCAGCAGGGTAGTGGATGGAGTAAGGTGGACAGCTCTAGGAGGACAGAGGAACCGGCAGTAGGGTTATGGTAGCAGCCGTTGCAGGGAAAGACAGAGTAGAGAGAGATATGAAAGCAGGGCGGGGGGGGGGGACGTATGGAGAGCGAACAAGACAGAGAGGGAGAAACAGAGATTGTTAGAAAGAAGGATGTGGGTTGATAACCAATGTAAATAATTGTTTCTCTGTTGCCAGCTTCAAGCCAGCTCCTTTCTTTGTCCTTGATGAGGTCGACGCAGCTCTCGACAACACGAATATTGGCAAGGTAGGCACATTATTTGCATGCAATGCTATGTTTGTAATTAAATCTGCGGGCGTGCTTTTTGTGTATATGGTATGTATGTATAAATTTTTCAGAAATATGTAGTTCCCTATCCTCCTTTTATCTGGCAGTTGTGTTTGTTTACCATAGGTAGCAGAGTTTATAAAAGATGAGTCTGAGAGAGCCTTCCAATGCATAGTCATTTCTTTGAAGGAGGAATTCTATAATAGGGCCGATGCTCTGATTGGAATCTACCCTGAAGTGGTGAGCATCTAGCCAAATCTCTTTGCCACAGTCTGTACTAGCAAACATTTTCTCTGGTGTAGCTCTCCGTGAGGCCAAAACAAAATATAGGTGTGGTTACCGTTTCCCGACCGACCCTATTTATTCCCAGCGACCCTAAACATTTTATTGTCAATTTTCTTTAAAGTAAAAAAAAAATTAAAAAAAAAAAAACATTTAAAAAAAAATGAATTGGACAGTTCCTGCTTCAAAAGGCACAACGCACATCCTTCGGACATGGTTCGTAAATAAAATGTTTCAATAAAATAAAATGTTTTCCCTACCTACCTACCCTATTTTTTTCGGCATGAAACGGTAACCACACCTATATTTTGTTTTGGCCTGATCATAATGAAAACATCCTGTGATCTTAAACGTAGTGCCGAATCTTGTGGTTATGCAGAAATTTTCAAGATTAGTTCAACTGCAAATGTCATATGCTCAGCTCCTGGTACTTTTACGTGCAGTTCAGTACAAGCACTCAGAATGCAGGTGATGTTTTGAGCTATTTCATATGATAGAAATTGACCTATCCGTCTGAGGAAGAGAACCATTGACCCTAATTTTGTTAAGTCGCGTAAGCTAGACTAGTTTATACATGTTTTTCACGTCTGAATGCCAACTTGTCGACTTTGTTGTGCTTTGCCAAGTATTGTCTTTTAGAACGTCCCATCACAACAATGATTGGTTAAAGATGACTGCCAATCATGCCACACCGATACATCGGTTAACTAATGATGATTGGTTCTTCTATTGCAGATGGGGGACTGTATTGTGAGTCGGTGTCTCACGTTGGACCTCACAGACTACATTGATGCACCAAGCCAGTAGCTTAGCAGTCGTACGTGTATGTGTAGATTTCAACCGTGTATGATGTTTTCTTAAACGTGTAGTACATTCCATGTTCAAATTGTTGCCTTTTTATGATGTCTTTAGCAGAGCGCGATCGGGCCCCGTGTTGTGATCATCGATTATATAAGTTATTGCGTTTGGTGATGCTGTTGTTGTACCTTTTCGTAATGTAGGAATAAATGTAGTGCCAGTGCCAGAAACCGTGTTATGTTGCACATTTTATCTGTTGAACATGTTGAATGCAACAAGTCTCGTCTGTTCCGATCACACCCTCTTAAATCAGCCACTCGATGCTGTGAAACAACATTAAATCTCGGTGGACCTAGCTAAATGTAGCAAGACTGTACCTATCGCATACCTTTTCAATGGGGTTGCATAAAAACGATGATACACGTAAAAATGCTACCGTGTTAGGCGCACAATATTTATTTGTTTAGTAAGCATAATTTCACAGCAATTCTTGTTTGCAATATGTTAATGTGAAATTGACAACACGCGTGCGTAGTCAGTTGAAAAACCTTTGTGCTGCCATTAAAAAAATGTGTGAAAACATGGAATAGGAGAGGTTGATGGGTATGTGAGAACATGTATGAGGGTAAAGGTAATGAAAAGTAAAATGAAAAAGGGGCCGAGAAGTTGATTTAGGCTAGTCTCGACACGAACAAAATTGGTTTGATAACTGCCTACACATATACTATCTGAGTTTTATAGCATCGATTAAAATACTGCGAACGATGACTGCTCTGCAGTGTGCGTAAGTTGTACATTGCTTCCTTCAAACTCACGCATTTTTCATCTAACAGGACACATACCGATGTAGAAAACAGGATAGCCATATAATGCACATGCATCATGAATATTCAACGTGGCTTAGGGGATTTATAATTGCAGCACAGGCGTCACGGGGTTGGGTAAATTTAATGCCCCAAAATCATTATACGTAGACAAAACACAAATAGAAATTGAATTTACCAGCAGCGCTATGGCTCCAGCTCAGCATATTTTATAATAGCCGATAATTAATGAACTTCGGTGATGCATTTTAGAACAGTTCGGCCGCTAGCACATAGCTATCCCCACCGATTGCCCGTAAAACATTCATTCAATTCTCGATAATAGCGACTCGATCAAGTCCGAAATCGATCGATCGTGAAGTCACATCAATAAGATTTTATCAAAACCTTCTTTATACGCTCTTGATTTTATCTGTTGCGATGTAAATTAAAAAGATACGAGCTATGTACACATGGGTTGTCATCGTCCCCGCTCACTCGATCGAACGCGCTGACGTCGTAGAGTTCAATGATAAGAACTGGCATGATTTTATCTATACCATATATATATATCTCCACGGCAATATCTAAACATACATCGATGTAGTAAAGCTGTATAAATATCTTTATGGCAATATCTAAACATTATATAGATGCAGTAAAAATGTATAGATATCTTCATGGCATTTTTATTGCATTTTTGCATTTATTGCATTTTATTTTCATTAACGAATTTGGGTCGCGTACGATCGTTTGCAGCCTGGCGCCTTATTCATTTAAGAAATGTTACCAGGCCGTACATTTATTAGCACAAAAAGTGTTTGAATACGTCTATTGACACGCACTTGAAACAATGCGTCGCGGTACGTATGCTTACGTAATGTTTTTTCGCACTGCACTATCTCGTAAACGCGACGAGTGCGGCGTCTAGCCACGTGAGCTAGAGTAGATCAACGACCGCTCCTGCTACCTCATTCTGCTACCGCCCCCCACCCCCCCAAAAACAATCCGCGTTTCCACTGTCGCATGGTCAGCTTGGACTCTCTTTGGTTGTCCATGTTCGATCTGTTGTGTTAACGCTTAGAGTCTGGCCTCTACTGCGTATTGTCACGTACGCGTGCGAACTAGCGTCAGAAGAGCGGGACAACAATCGCTGGATCCAAAGTGCGCGCTCAAAAGCTGTTTGATCGTTCTTATCTGCTTGACACTTCTCCGCCTGGGACGGCAGTCCGATCCACGTTATACTTTTAGCAAGAATTTGTACGAGGCGCAAGAAGGCGCAAGTGTTAACCGCTTTCGAACGCTAACCGTTGTTGGCATCTACGCAGTAACGTGAATATTGCGGGACTGCACGCACGCACACGCGTGCACGACTTTCGTCTGCGCTGCCGTGCGCGTTAGATTACCAGACGGCGTCGTCAGTGTTTGCGCGGGGCTGGGCGGTGTGTCAAAGCGACTGCATAACACTTGGAGATATAGACGGTTGAGCTTACGCGTCGGACTCAGAGACGGATCGAGAGAAGACGCGAGCGAGAGCGAGAGAGAGAGAGAGAGAGAGAGAAAAGGAGAGAGGTGTCTGTGAGAGAGGAGGATACAGACTGTGCACGTGAAAGACAGACAGAAGGAAAACATGTATCTACATAGGATTTTACTGATGTTGGTCGTCGCTTCCGGAGTATTCGGTAAGTGGGTGTGCGCGAGCAAGCCACTCTGATATTGCGCGTGTTACCGTGTGTCTGTAATGTCGGTGAATCTGGTGTGGCGAGTAGGCCTATGACTTATCAAGTCTTTTTGATGTACGTATTCGACTTTACCGGCACTCAAATTAACCAAACTAGTTGATTAACTCTAATTAATAAATAAATCTGTCTCTATCGCAGCATTTTTATCGTAATTACTACAATATGAAATGTTAACCACGCACTCGAATATTTTACCTGGGGTGTAACCCGGGTTTATTAATTAATTAATTAATTAAGTTGAGGAAAGCATCAGCATTCAAGTAATTTTTTCCTAGTGACCTATAGGGCCTGTTGTGCTAAGACTAATTGTAAGACAAATTTTGTTTCTGACAACGGGCCCCTAGCAAATATAATTAACGCGCTAAGGCGTAACTCATTGAGTGGGGTGTCTGTATAATTTATACGATCGATATGATATAGTATATTTCGGGTTCGAAGAATTTGAACTGATAGTGAGACATGTCATGGAGTTTGTATTTCTTCTACTTGAATGGCTGACTACCTGAACCATAGAAATAGATTATCTATCTATTTCTATGACCTGAACTGACTGCTGAATAAGAATAAGAAATAAGAATTAAGAATAAGAAATAAAATGAATATGAATAAGAAGAAGGAATAAGAAGAAGAAATAAGAAGAAGGAATAAGAATAAGAAATAAGAAGAAAAAATAAGAATAAGAAATAAAAGAAGAAGGAATAAAAAGAAGGAATAAGAAATAAGAAGAAGGAATAAGAAGAAGGAATAAGAATAAGAAATAAGAAGAAAGAATAAGAAGAAGAAATAAAAAATAAGAAGAAGGAATAAGAGTAAGAAGAAGAAGAAGAAGAAGAAGAAGAAGAAGAATAAATTCCCCGCACATTCCAAAGAGAGAATCAGTGCCTTGTGAAATACAAGAGAGGGACCCCAAGATACAAGAAGATACAAGATACTTCATGATACAATGAACATATAAAAATAGATATTAGATATTTGATTGTCGAACTCGAGTTTTTGCTTCGAACCGAACAGACATGTATTAATTAGGCCTACATTGTTTCCACGTGTAGAAAAAGATGACGCGGGGATGGCCTAACGCGGCATGGTATCAACATACTAAAATAGCGTCCTTTCTTTAATATCTCACCTATACACACTCCACTCGCTGTGGCAAAACCATAATATTATAGTACATAACATGAGTGGTTGATTTAAAAGTACTAT